GTCCCGTATCGCGAAATGTGTGGCTTGGCGGCGAAGAGCACGTGGGTACGCAGACGTTGAAGAGTCGGAAAGAATGTTAAGGAGAGATGTTATCCATGGGTCTTTCCGCTGTTCAGACGACATGCTTGTGACGGAAATGGGAGCGATCGAGAAGTTGGTGTCTGAATGCAGGTCTGTGGTGGATATCACTGGTGATCGTGAGAGGGCGTCCGCATCAGAGTGTTTTTGTCCTGAGCGGTAGACGACACGAATGTCGAATTCTTGTAGTTGAAGAGCCCAACGTCCAAGGCGACCTGAAGGATCTTTTAACGACGCCAACAAACTAAGTGCGCGGTGATCGGTCACAACGTCGAAACTCTGTCCGTACAAGTAAGGACGAAACTTGCTTAACGCCCAAACGATTGCGAGGCATTTTTTTTCAGTTACGGAGTAGTTCATCTCCGCTTTCGTGAGTGCGCGGCTTGCGTGTGCGACGACGTACTCTGGAATACCGGGCTTTCGTTGCGCCAGTACTGCTCCCAGACCAACGCCACTGGCCTCTGTGTGCACTTTAGTGGGGGATTTGGGTCGTAATGGCGTAGAATCGGTGGGGACGTAAGTAGGCGGCGCAGTGTAAGGAAAGCTTCGTCGCATGCCGGGGTCCAGTTAGAAAGATTAGCTGGACCGTTCAGAAGTTGTGTAAGTGGGGCAATTATTGTTGCAAAGTTGTGGACAAAATGACGAAAATACGAGCACAAGCTGATGAAGCTCCTTAGTTCTTTGAGTGAAGTCGGCTTCAGAAAGTCGGCTACGGCTCGAAGTTTGTCTGGGTCGGGGCGAATTCCATTCTTTGACACAACGTGACCAAGTATAGTAAGTTGGCGAGCCCCAAAGCGGCACTTATTTACGATAAGCTGGAAGTTTGCCTTGGTAAGACACTGAAAAATGGTGCGCAGACGGTCGACGTGGGTAGGAAAATCAGGAGAAAATACGATAACATCATCGAGGTAACATAAGCATATCTGCCATTTAAAGCCGTGTAAAATGCTGTCCATCATTCGCTCAAACGTTGCAGGTGCATTGCACAGACCGAATGGCATAACCATGAATTCGTATAGGCCATCAGGCGTAACGAACGCTGTTTTGGGACGGTCACACTCTGCCATCGAAACCTGCCAGTAACCTGAACGTAAGTCCAGCGAAGAAATAAATTCGGCACCTTGTAGGCAATCGATAGCGTCGTCGATGCGGGGAAGAGGGTATACATCTTTCCGTGTAATTTTGTTCAGTCGCCGGTAGTCGACACAAAATCTAATCGAGCCATCTTTTTTCTTCACTAGCACCACAGGTGAAGACCAGGGGCTAGAAGATGGTTTGATGACACCGCGTTGAAGCATATCATCCACCTGTTCTGCAATTACACTTCGTTCCTTGGGTGATACGCGGTAGGGGCGTTGCCGCAAAGGAGCGTGCGTTCCAGTGTAGATTGTGTGAGCGACGGTGTTAGTTTGACTCAGTGCCTTTTGAGGAAGGTCAAATGAATCTCGGAATTCATGCAGAAGGGTTATTAGCTGGTCCCGTTGATCCAGATGAAGCTTGCTGTCGATGGAACGATTGAAGATATCCGAGGAGTAGTCATCCCGCGTAAAAAGAGGAGTAACGGCGTTCAGTTGAAGTTGCTGGCCAGGGTCGTGGGACTCAATAGGCACAATAACGTTGTCATCAACAGGATGAACATAGCCCAGTGTTTAGTGAGCTCTCAATGTGAGAGGGCATGAGCTAGGATTGCAAACGACAATTCCGGAAGTATCCTAGTGAGGTGGCAGAACGGCGTATGGCAGAGACGTACCGTGGCGGCGACTGAAAACGTCAGATGGAGAGAACACAACGGTAGAGCCGGATAGTTCAGTGCGATTGACGGGGACAACGATAGCACTAAGAGGAGGAACATCAACGTCGGAAGCAACAAGAAGCTTGCCCAGGTGAGTGCGCTCATTGTCGGTAGATGGCGCATCCGAAAACAGATAATTCCACCTGCGCGCGAGCGCAGTCAATTACGGCGTGGTGGCGTGACAAAAATCCCATCCAACTATCACGTCGTGAGCATAAGTGGTCTACAGGAGAAACTCGATGTGGTACAGGACGTCCTGAATGTTTACTTTTGCCGTACTTGCTCCGACTGGTCGAATTAGTTGCGCACTCGCGGTATTCAGCAAAACGTCGGAAGGCGGCGTCGTTACTTTTCGTATCGAACGGCAGAGTTTCTGACTCATCAGAGATACGGCGGCACCCGTATCAACAAGTGGAAGAGTTCGTAGACCTTCAACAAACACTTCCAGAACGTTCGTGGGGGACGGGCGAGGACTTGTACAATGCGACGATTTCGCAGCTCGTGCCTCCGGAGCTGCGGCAGTCAGTTTTCCGTCTCTACAGGGTTCGGTCGGCGACGCAGAGGGGACGAAGGACGGTAGCGGCGTGGTGAGTATGAGTGACGGGGACCGAATGATCGGTAGTCGGCAGCAGGGCGGTGGTCTAGTTCGGTTGGTGACGGGTCGCGTTCCATTGATTGTCGGTCGCATTGACGTGGCAGTTCACGTTGCGCGTTGTACGGGGCCGGTAAAGAGTAGTCAGGGTACCTCGGAGGTGCAGCCGGGCCCGTTGCGAAGCGCCGGCGACAGAAGCGCGCCACGTGACCTGGATATCCGCATGCGTAACAGATCGGGCGATTCTCAACTGTGCGCCAAGGGTTTCCGTCATAGCGTTGTTGTGTTGCTGGAAATGGCGTCGTTGATACTCGTACAGGCTGGGGAGTCGGCCCAAGTGGAGGTCGTGGCGGAGTAGCAAGAACAGCAGCATAAGTCAATTGCGCGGTGACGGGTGCTGTCTGAGAGACGGACGGCAATGCCTCAGAGACCTGCGCCAGTATTACCTGCCTGATGGCGGGCACGAGATGCTCAGAAGAGGGTTCCGTTGCTGGTAGATACGACAGGCACGAAAGTTGTCAGGCCACCTCCTCGCGCACATATTGTTTGATTTCGGACATGATTGCGCTGTGGTTTCCACCCAGGCTCAATGCCGCGAGAGTTTCATCGGTAGCCGCTGGACGCCGTGTCATGACCCGTTGTTTGCGCAACTCCTCGAAGCTCTGGCAAAGAGTGGCGAGTTCGGACACGGTACGTGGGCCCTTGGCCAGCAGCATCAGGAAGGCGTCGTCGTCTATCCCCTTCAAAATATGTTTGATCTTGTCTGCCTCGATCATTGAAGGGTCAAGGCGCTTGCACAAGTCGAGCACATCCTCGATGTAGCTTGTGAAGCCTTCTCCTTGAAGCTGTGCGCGTCCCCGTAGGCGCTGTTCGGCATGGAGCTTGCGTATCTCGGGGCGACCGAACACATCGGTAATGAGTAGCTTAAAGGCACCCCAAGTGGCGAATTCCGACTGGTGGTTGTTAAACCAGAGACTCGCCACCTCTTTCAAGTAGAAGGGTACATATTGCAGCTTCGAAGGGTCGTCCCACTTGTTGCTTGCGCCTACCTTTTAAAATGTCGACAGCCAATCTTCTACGTCTTGCTCATCAGTACAGTCGAAAAAATGTGCATCGCGCACGCGTAGCGCAGTGGGCACGATGACCATCGGAGGCTGGGTCGTACCTTGGTAGGTGTTTTCTTCAGCCATGTCTGGGATGGCAGGTAGTTTCCTGTTGCGGAGTTCCAGGTTGAGTTACCCAGCACCTCCACCACTCTGAAACGGGGTTGATTGGCGCAAGTAGTACTTGCACAGCAGGGCCATTGATGCGGAAAGCGGGCGGCAGGAACCGACGCAGGAAACACAACGCTTGGGGGAATAGCTCGCGCTCGGCTCCTTTTGCTAAAGGCCTTACCCACTGCGGCACATATTCTTCTTCCTCTCTACATTTGCAATAAAGTTTGCGTAGAGGAAAATAAAGCAAGTTTCAATTAAACATAACTTCATATCACCTTGTTTTACACTCAGCAAAGAAGCATCGCGAATCTCAAAAACGTGATTCATTCGAAGCAGATCCGAAGCCTATACTTCCCATATTTACCATGGGGGTATAGAAGCACCGCCGAAGGACCCCGCGTAGACGCTAGCGCCATATTCTTGTCTAGGTAATATTGTATGAAAGTCCATGGTCTCTATGATACATACGCACAATTTTTGCGAGTAAATATTTCCACACAGTACGCCAATTAGTGCGACGTATAGCAAGGGCGTGAAGACAGAAAATCTTCATGCGAGAAGTTACCTCACGACGCGCCGCGATTAGAACCCTTGCACGCACGATCCAAAAGCCTAACCACAAAACTTACCCTCACCCTCAATAGGCACTGCATGGACTTGTATTGTTTGGTTTAGTAAGGAGAAAGAGAACGACGGTGAGTGTGAGCAGAAAGGAAGAGAGTAAAGCACAGCATATACAGCATAGTAAAGAGATTGATTGAATTATTTGTGGGTTTAACGTCCCAAAGCACAACATAAATATGAGAGACGCCGTAGTGCAGGGCTCCGGAAATTTTGACCACCTGGGGTTCTTTACTTTGAGAACAGTAAAGAGCTGCACAGAAAGAAAGAAGTGAATAAGAAGAGAGACGATATAAGAACGGAACTGAAATAAATAGAAAAAGAAAGGTAGAAAGAAAAGGAAAACAAGCGAAAATTCCTAGCGAGAAAGAGAGAGAGAGAGAAAATAAAATGAGAAAAAAAGCACAAATATAGAAAGAAAAAATAAACAGAGACGAGATAGACAGAACAACAATGAAAATAAATAAGAAGAAAGAACGAGGTAAGAAAAAAAGAGAAAGAAACACGGCCGCTTACCTCCATGTTTCCTTCGCCCTTCGAATCATTGGTGGGAAGCTGTCGTTGAGCTCCAACATATGTTTATCCTTGCGCCGTCATGGCAAGTCACACTAATTTTTTGTTCATTTTCCGTAAAATGTCGTAATTTTTTTAGTGCGACACAGAAGGTAGCAATTTCTAGCGCTCGTGCCTGTATACTTACCCTGTAAGGAAGTAGATTAGATCGAATTCGACGTAGAAGGCACTTCTTTCCACAACATAGTTCTTGACACCATAGAGTGATGGAATGGCATCGATGCCATCTCCAAGGTACTGGTAATAGTACTTTTCTTCTGTCTTCTGCAAACAAAACATGCGCGTTGCAGCTCAAGCTGTTTTCACATCCCTGAGAACGATTTTTAGGTAATTGCGTCCGGGATAGGCTAACCAGCTACCGACCGGCAAGGTCAGTGAATTACGTGATGCACCACCCTTTAGTGATGATGTCAAAAATCTTCACAAAAAGCTTAATGTCTGACATTTTGGGGATGCGGTACATCCTGACGATGCCACATGATCCAACTACGGTATGTCGTCGTTTGCTCACTTGAGTTCACGCGTGCTATATCTGTTCGTAGTAGCTAAATCATTTCATTCTGTCCTGCCTGACTCATTTTCCGAAGCGTTCTCTGCACAAAGAAAGTACATTTTATAGAAAATGCCCGTAGTTGGTACCTTGTATGCTTCACGGACACACAAAGGGCATGAAGCGGGTGTATCACATGCGCTTTGCCGGACAACAAACAGTACGTGAGAGACAACGGAGAAGCCTAGACCCGAGAGTGCTTCGCCCCTAAAACTTCGATGAGATGTAAGTCATCTGAAAAAGAGGAGCCTTTGTCGACGACCCCACTGGCCTCAGTCATTCGTTCACACAGATGAATCAGTGATTGCTGGTGGGCCAGGTCACAACTAGACAGCAGCATCTCCCCCTGTATCAACCTGTGCGTTAGAATAATTTCTGGTTCAGATGTAAGAAGTGATTTACGTAGCCTTAGTTAACGTGATATGGCCTGGGACTCCCTCCGAAACAGGGCCGATAGCTTTGTAGCACGTTTTAAAAAAGTAAATGGAACTGTGGATGCCACAGCTCGTGCACTGAAATTTTGAGCAACGACACTGAACAGTTCAGCAAACTTTGAGATCCCAACGTATTACGCTATTTATAAACATTCAGTGGCGAAAGGCGTGCTTTCCAATCAGCGTTTTACCGGACGAGTGTACGAAGTTTTCCGTAAACAAATAACAGGAGAGGATGCCATGAGTTAGCAAAAAAGGTAAAATACGGTCTATGCACTGAAAATGTCTGCAAAAATCAGTAGCCCATGCTTCACTGAAATAATTATGATGAAGCTGAATTTTGCCTTAAGAATCTTAATTTTTTTAATACAGAAAGCAGCCTACTGGCTGTTTAATTTTTATATTAGGTATCTACTGAATAGTACGAACGTTTTGTAGTTATTGAGGACATTTTCAGGACGTTGTGGATATTGAGAACATAAAGTGAACACGTTTTTCATCGCAATATAGTGGGACGGTATATGCAAACTTACTTATGTGGTTGCGACCTGCCATACTGACCTAGAAATAAAGTAACGACATCCCTGTGCAGCTTTAAACCTATGTCAGAGACTGCAGCCAGGTCGTGTATAAATAACCACTGAAGTTATGGGGTATGTTCTTAATAAAGAAACGTGAAAACACCGCAGTTCATTCATCAAATTACATTGCTAAAATACCAAATAAAAAGCTATGCATCTTTGCAAACACTTCAGAAGCACGGACAGTTGGGTGAGTTGGTAATTCATCTTAACTGTGTTGCGCGAAAACTTGAAGTGTGTCCTCTTTTCGTACTTCAATTTTCCCCGAAACTCAGTTAGGATTTACAACCACACTTGGGTTATTCATCTTTACAACCACACTTGCATGGACATCTTCCTTTTAGGTTCAATAAAAATGCATATTGGGAATATTACCGGCTTGATACCGGCTAACTTACGTTACTGATTTCGATGCCCCTTAAAACAGGCTGTATCTGAGGTTGAATAATAGTGCTGTAGCGTAAGGTCACCTGAAGGGTAGAAACAATTGAAACGTTTAGGTCGGGGTGCGGCAAACGATCGTATGTTTATTGCGGTGAACGATACTTACAACTTGAAACATAATGACGATGTATTTTATTAAGCTGTATTTATTCTTAAATCCAGCAAAATATATCGAGTCGCACGTTATGAGAACTTCTGGATATATAACTTCTACGTTGAATTTAGCTAATGAATCAGAAAAAAACATAGTGTCAATAGAATGACACTTTAGTTCTATTTTGCTTTACTTACAGGAATCATAGCCAACGCGACCATTGGTGTCACGTTCATCAATTTTTATACTGTCCTGGACAACCTTCCCTGGAATAAGATCACGTAGTTTCGCATTAGAATGTTACTACATTTTCTACAGGAGCAAAGAGTTTTTCGCTGAATCTCAAACAGCTTTTTCACTGGTTTCTCAGCGTTGTTTTAAATATTGTGGCATGAAATCTTGGTGCAGGAAGCACTCAGAGAGTATGTTTGTATAACTTTGTAGTTAACGTGATGATTGTACTTGAAGCGATAGTTACTACGTTTGCTGACCTCCGAAACTATGCTAGCAACTACAAGCTAACTGTTGCCAATGTTGGCCTGTGAATCAACAACCGGAGGTCACTAAAATTGCTTGGGACTGTTCCCTTTTGCTGTAGTTCCTAATTACATCCTGTCACTCAGAAGCAAATTGTAGCGTCATTGTGTACTGCTTTTTCGTGTTTCCGCCTTCCAAATTGATCTGACAGTTATTCGTATTTTCCATAAATTATAGTACCGTAGATGCAAAGAAACAGAAATTTATGAGCTCGTTTTTTTGACAACAGTGTTACTGAGATCTGACATATAGTAATAATAAAGAAAATATAGGTGATGTTATTCGCTGGAGTTATAATTTAATGCGAGGAAAGAAAAGTCAATAAAACAAAAGGTTTTCCGAGGCAGGCACTCAACATGCGACCTTCGAATAACGCATCCTGTGCTCTACCAACTCATCTACAGCACTAGTAAACACCGCGCTCGCTCACTTTATGTGGAATATGTGTCCATTCGAACTAGTGAGTGTTAGTCAGCAGCACTAGCAGTCATGATGGCGCGTACGGAAAACTTTTCTTCGGCGCGTTAGTGTCACGCAGCATGGTATGTTATACCGAGCGTGCTGCTGACAAATAACCCATCGCATTCAACCTCAAGACATCAAGTCTGCCGTAGCTCGACCCTCGCTATGAATGAGTGAAAAAAATGGAAGTTTTAGGTAATATTTTTCTTCGTTAGACGCAATATTAGCCGGAACTAACAAACAACGATGCCAAGGTAAGTATACGGCATGTTACCAGTAGCAACTGTAATGTACGTGTGAAGAACCAGGTGGAGGAAAGCAAAACTTTCCTCTGGCCGAGACGGAACATGCGACCTTCTTATGACGCCCCGGATGCTCTACCAAATTATTAATAAAAATGTGTGGGCGCTGTATTAGCTGGGGAGGAGCGCTGCTGTCGGTGAGTTGTAATTGGATCGGACGTTTTTTTTTTCTAAATTCCCTGGTTTGGTTTCTGCCAGCGTTGAGTTGCGCTTTCGTCCGATTTTCTTTTTTCGCATTGTGAGCCCCTATGGCAGTTGAACCACAAATTGCGATACTCCCCTTTTCTGAGTTTTGCCTGTCCCGTAAAAACGCTCAATGCAGAGCAGACAAAACACTCACGCTGAAAAGCACCTTGAAAACTATTTGCTTGCAATGTGCAACCGATTCTCCAAGATGAATTTTCGTTTGACAGCCTGGAGTTGGAAATCACAAATTGAACTTTCCTTCTCCAGCAGAGCGATGAATCAGGCTACTTGGTGGTGGTTCACGATTTCTTTTTGCGCTGTGGATGACGAGGCACGGTCGGGACAGCACTATAAGACAGGCGGTGCGCACACACAAACCTGGTTTATTGGCATCTTGCGAAACGTTATATATAGCCAGGTCAACATTGAGATAGTAAGAATGAGCTGAATGGCTGAACATTGCGAAAGCAACTAAAAGTTAACAAACATAAAGCACGCATGTGGCATATGTCATCGTAAACACAGACAAATTTTCCGCAAATCAGCGCGCGTCCCTTTCTAGCAAATCAAATTTCAGTGAATACCTATTCATAGTGGGATCAGTGACAATGATTCCACAGACAACGCGGCCCACCAAGACCACACTCCTCCGATTCCTGTGTCAAGAACCTACACTGCAGGGCAGTAGTCTATCTCTGCTGGAATGGAACACCCTAAACATAAGACATGCAATACTTGATCAAATAAACCAATAATTGGACTTTACGTTAAGTTTTGCCTTTTTGACGGCTTTCGTTGCGGGTGGCCTTCAAGGAATCATATACACTCCTACTGAAGTGAACCGACAGTGCGGCATGCGAGGTCTGCAGCACCGAAGAAAACATTCATGATTTGCTATGCCGTTGCCGTTGCTCTCGGATTGCCTCTGAGAGACGGATAGTTTCTGACACGTTGCTAATATTGGATGATCGGCCACTCTGTGCCGATGCTGCTGGAGCACCATCCTTGCCTTTGTTAGCTCAAAAGACAGTCGAAGCCCCCTTGAGCTTTCTGAGGAATACGGGTCCATATGCAAGCCTTTAAATTTTGCACAGTACCACTGTTGCACACGCGTCAGCCTACACTCTTAAAAAGATCTAGTAAAAAGATAGCAACTGCATGCAAATAGGTAGTAAATGCAGCACTTGCTACTTTCCTTGAATCTATACTGCCATTTTTCTATCTGTTTACTACCTATGTTGGCAAACAGTTACTCGCTGCAACCATTACTAACATTTTACAACCTTTTTAATACCTACTTAAGTAAACAGTTAGTAACTGGAAGGAAAAAAGTTGTAACCGTAGCTGTTACTACCTTTCTTGCTCCGTTACTACTTTATTGCTGCCAAACTATAGACTATCTTATTCAAAATAGTGTGTCATTCATATTCTGATAATTTAGGAGAGGAGTCGTCTCGACGTATCATCATTACACGGGAAGATGACGCAAAAAATATCCATAAATTAACGAAAAACATTGTATTTAGATTGCTCAACAGAGATAAGTAAACGTCATTCGGATATTGTCGAAACGGAGAAATACAAGTTAGTGCTACATGCGTTATAATAGACAATTACAAAAACCTCAGTAAATTACTGCTAATTAACAAGACCGGTAGATCCAAATAACCAGGCTGTCAAAATAATCTAGATGATGGTCACAATTAATTCACTACGGCGTGTTTCCAAATATTATCTTTGTTTTGGCACATCAACCCCCCAAAACAAATAAACCCACTGATATATTAGCAGTGCGAAACATTCAAAAGCACTGAGACTATGGTAATGTATTCGGTATATTGTTTTCGCCACTGTACATAAGGCATTTTTGTGGCCGTTGTATAATAAATAGATAAGACGTATATCTATTTGTGAGTAAGGCTGCTTAAACGTCCTTTGCTACGTCCCTAAACACACATAACTCGGTAGTATGATATAGTGTTTTTTATTCACAATTGTTATAAGTAAACCTGAAACACAACTGCTTCCATGTGCTAGACATGCACCTGCAAAATCGTGGCGATATATACCCCACGCTTACTTTATACTATAGCGTAAAAAAAGTAATGACTTTGTTAGGTCTATATATTCTTCGCGTTCATGGCACACCACGCAAGATTACCCGAAGTTGTGTAGCAATTGAGACATTGAATAACCAACGTTAGCAATGAAAGAATTTTATCACAAAATAAATGAACAAGGTAGTACCGTTTACTACAATTATTTTCTTGAAACCTTTAAAAGTTACTACCCATGTGTGGTAACGGCTGGGCTAGTAGCAGTTACTAAATGCTGGTAGTAACAGCTACCACCCTCACTGTTACTAACTGCGCTTGCAACGAGGTTTGTAACATATGTGACAAGCGATCACTACCCCAAAGTTAACAAGTACTACTACCTTTTTTGTAACAGTGTATGCTGACGCGTACACTCCTTTCATATTACCTCAGTTAAACTAACCGGGCATGTGCCTTGTCATTCTCCCTGCCTCCTCTTTTGTTGTGATTGCTTCTCTTGTATTCGGCCTACGTTAAATGTAACTAGAGTGTGCTGCTGGATATGACGGCAACCTTGACGTCCAAAGAAATGTGATTTCAGCATGCTCCAGTAATACTCCAGTATTGTGCGAACTGTTTCTGGCACAGGGCGCTCGTAAATTAACACAGCAAGTAAATTACCTTGACTTAATCAGCATGTACCAGATACGTAGACGATCTTTAGTCTCTAAAACTAGGCGCTGAACTTGACAGCAAAAATATTGTCAAAAGCATTCCCAACAAAACATTCATGTCTCGATTTCATCACCAGTTCACGCACCCCCTACCCTGTATTCGCTGTCTCGTCCTCGTTTCTTTATAGGCCGCCATAGAAGAAATCATGAACTTTTCCTAGCTAACAATTGGTGAAAAACCTATATCTGTTATCATTGTCAGTGCCTGTATCATGACCTTCACTGCCCCGAGACGTCGCTTTACACTGCATTTATCATAAGAATAAGCCATTCATTCTAGTTGGGCACGTTCTTGCAAGTAAATTGTATCCCAACGAACTCTGCGATATTCTACGCAATCGCGTCAGGACTTTTAAGAACTTGCCCTAGAGACATTGTAAATTTTGTACCCCAAAAATTATATAAAGCATGAGTCACCATAACAATTCATCACTGATCGAGATCGGACTTTCTTCTCACCTACGGTCAATACCTTAAATCCATGTTCAACGAATCTGAGGCCTACACCTTCGTAATATCCGGAAAAAAATCACCTCAAGAAAACTTTAAACCGAATGCTTGCGTCATTTTTATAGATATGTGCCATCCGGAATAATTACACAATTGAGATTTCCGCTCGTATTTTTAACTTGTACCTGCAAATCGTCACGCAGCGACAGTAAATGGTATTGCACATTTCTATCTATGGTGGAAAACCTACCCAACCTTTATACATACAGATGCACGTGTGTACAAACTATAGTTCAATAAGCATTTAGTCAATTTCAACAATTTCCAGCGAACCATCACAAGCAGCATGAAAATGTGGCAGAGGCTTCACTTAAAGTTTCAAAAACAGCACTCATCATTTATAGCTACAGCTATTGAACGTGTGCACGGTGTCAAGTTGTCTATATAACATCCTCCAACGTCTACTGCATGGTTCATTCTTGTCTGCTGACGTAGAAAGGCGAGCACCTGT